AAACACATGTCCCCTCTACATAGTTCTCATAGCAGAACGAAGAGATGCGGTATATTCAGAGCACCGGTGTTGCCAAGAAACCAGTGGCAAGAAATTATGATCTTTTCAGAGAAAGAGATGATCTTGCTGAGCAGTGCAAGCAAAGTAATGACAAGGCTGTCATTAGTAAATTAGGATAACTTGTATGACACATGGGACTGAGATACAAAGGGGTCCATCTGGCAGATCAGTGTAAAGTTGCATTATACTGGGGCTCAACTCATGAAGTGATTTACTGCACTTCAGGTGTGATGCAATCATTGCATTATTCTTTTTGAACAGTAGGCCTTATTACAGACAAAAACACTGCTAAAGAGCAGAAATGGCACGAGAGTCGTGCACAGAAATGGTAAATGGATTGTACTTGTATAGTGTCGTTCTATCTTATCAAGATACTCAAAGCGCTTTACACTACAACCTGTGCCCTCATTTACCCATTCATACTGCTCTCTAATATATCAGTAGAAGTACAGTCTTCTTGCAAAATATAACAAAAAAAATTTAATCTTACCTGAACAGTTTATTTAAGTTTATGTACTGCATTTTCCGGGCTATACGTCTCTCTGGAGTATAGGTCGCATTAGTCGAAAAATGTATCATGAAGAGGAAAAAAACATATAAGTCGCTTTGGAATATAAGTCACATTTATTATGTGTCGCCACTGACCCCTTACGACAGGTGTCATGCCAAAAATCGATTGGCGGCCACGGGAGCACGCTTGAAAGGACTCGCTGTTGCAGTTCTTCAAAATTTAACAAGAGTAACACCTAACAACAATTATTTGTTTACACAGGTCTGCAGGTGTGCTGGGGTCGAGGGGGTCCCGTCCCTCCGGAGCGGGGAGGAAGGGCGCAGCGAGGCACATTGTCCGCGGCCCCATGAAGTGGCAGGGTGCAGGCGGTGTGACGCTGTAGAGCTAGCGGGCAGAGGCGCGAGCCACCTTTGTCCCTGTAGTGTATAGTGCCGCTCACTAATACATGAGTAGGTTGTGATCTGTGGTGGTGGAGTGATATGTAATGTGATCAGACCAGGAACAGTGCTGATGTTATTATGCTAAGATGTTCTGAAGACGATGGTTAATGAATACAGTTCATAATGAGCCCATCAAGCATCCGCCTTCTTGTAGTAAAAATAGTAAGTCAACATATATTACAGTCCCTGGACCATTCCAAGCTGACCCAGAGCTGATTGCGGTGCACCGCCGCAGAGGAAATGCACCTTGCAGGAGCCAGCCAGACACAGGGGTAAGGCCCCCCACGAGGGGGAATCCTCCGCCACCGAGCAGCCGTCCCTTCTGCCGGGTTGAATCCCCCAGGCAGACTTCATGGACCCACCCATTTACAAACTTTTTTCTGCTGCTCAATTACTGTTTTGGGCTACATATTTTATGACCTGCAATTTGTAATCTGCAGAATATCATTTTCTTTTCTTTTCTCAGTTGTCTCTAAGTGAATGGTTTGGGGTGGGGTTAGCAGTAGAGGAACAACATATAGTTGTCAAAAGCCTAGAGGGCCCTCTCACAGCTGCAAATGGTAATGTTTACTTTTTGGTTCATGTAGTATGAATGAACATTTAACGCGGCAGTCAAAAATTGGGTCATGAATAAGGAAAAAAAAACGTACATAAGTCGCTTCGGACTATACGTCGTAGGACTGGTAAAACTATGAATCAAAGAGTGACTTATAGTCAGGAAAATACAGTAATATCAGTGGTGACTAGGGGTGTAACGGTACGCTAAAAATCACATTTCAGTTCGGTTCAGTTTCAAGGAGGGCTCGGTTCGGTTAATTTTCGGTACAAAAAAGGCCAAAATAAAGACTTATAAAACGTTTATTTTGAAAATATGCCAAGTAATCAATACGTTTTAAAATGAATACATAAAAGCAACCCATTTGGATGATATTTTAAATAAATGGCACTCTTTACAATAAACAAACTATACTAACAATAATACAAATCTTAATATATACAATAACAGTCAGAACCAGAACAATAAGCAGCAACAGACCATTTACAATTTAACTAATCAAGTTTTAAGTTTTTGGCCAAAAAGACCAACTTATCTACATTTTCTGCCAAAAAGCACATATCTAGTTGCAGTGAATATCTCCAGCGGTGGAGAAAACCGCTCACTAACAGGTAGAAGGAATAAAGAGGTATAGCACTTTGCTAATTTTGCAGTGTGGCTGTATTTGGCCTCATTACTCACAACTTCTTCTTGGACCTGCTCTCACCTGTACCTGGAAAAGTTCAGAGTTCAGTCATCACAGACTTCTTAGCTGGAGGTGATCTCTGGTGGATTCCCCTGAAGAGAAAGAAGACTCAGCTGCTGTCTCTGTCCCAGACTGGAAATAAAACACAAAGAGGTAAAAAAAAAAAAAAAAAGAGTTAATAAGATCCATCCATTCATCCATTTTCTTTACCTGTTTATTCCATTTTTGGGTCACGGGGGTCGCTGGTGCCCATGTCCAGCAATCACTGTGCGGGGGGCGGGGTACACCCTGGACGGGTCGCAAGTCCATCACAGGGTCACATAGAGACAAACGAGACAAACAACCATTCACTCTCTCACTCACACCTAGGGACAATTTAGAGTTACCAATCAGTCTAACATGCATGTTTTTGGTCTGTGGGAGGAAACCAGAGCACCCGGAGAAAACCCACGCACGCACGGAGAGAACATGCAAACTCCACCCAGAAAGGCCCCTGTACCGAGGTTTGAACCAAGGACCTGCTCGCTGAGAGGCAGCAGCTCTACCAGTTGCGCCACCGTGCTGCCCAGTTAATAAGAATATAATTTTAAATTAAAAAAGTTAATTAGATAATAATAAATAGCAATACCTCTTCTTCAACGGTCATCATTTGTTACGAGGTGGTTGAATCTCTCGGTCATCATCATCATCATGTGGCAGGGCTTTAATCTGGGGTTGGGCTTGTTGACAATATCAGTTTTAGCTTTTTCATAAAGTGCTGCTACAACTTTTTGGCTGAAGTGTTGACGTGATAGGATGTCGTAGGCAGCGAGGCTCAATAACTTTAAAGCCAGCGCATCAACAACAGAATACGGACTTAGAACCATAGCTTTAAAAACTCTTACAGCTTGTGTTATTGCTTTGGAACGCTCTGATTTACCTGATAAAGGTTGTTTAAATGCTGCTGTTATCGGTCTTTGCACCAAGCTGCTAGAACAGACGTTCACATACGGCTGATGTCGTTTCAAGCGCGTTAACAAGTTCGACGTGTCACCTGCTGCAGATCCAATCTTTGTGAAACATCATCGACACACAGCTTTGGATTTGCGCTTGTCTTTTAACAAGAAAGTCATAATGTTCTCAAACAGGAGACCGCAACGAGAAGCTAGAATGCTAATGCTACATGTGCTGCAAGACTATAGCGCCATGCTGAAACACGCTTAGGAACTTTAGTTCCGTGGCGCATAATCTCTCGTTAATAAAATTTAATGAGTGAAAAAATATCCGAAACGATATGCACGTGGGCCGAACTGAACATGCTGTACCAAAACTCTTCAATACACCCACGTACCGTTACACCCCCTAGTGGTGACTGAACTGGCTTAGCTTTTGTTCAGTCTTATGGATGCCTTTAGAAACCAACATGCCCAAAGATTGTGCCCTGGCCCTTTGTCTGTTTACAACCTGCCACTTGTGAAGCATTTGACATCTATCCATCCATTATCTTTACCCCCTTCTTCCTTTTTTGGGTCGTGGGGGTCACTGGTGCCCATGTCCAGCAGTCACTGTAGGAGAGGCGAAGGACACCCTGGACATGTCGCAAGTCCATCACAGGGACACAGAGATAAACAACCATTCACACTCTTACCTAGAGTCAATTTAGAGTTACTAATCATCCTAACATGCATGTTTTGTCTGTGGGATGAAACTGGAGTACACGGAGAAAACCCACGCATGCACGGAGAGAACATCCTCCCAGAAGGCCCCCAGCTGAGATTCGATGCAGCAGCCTTCTCACTGAGAGACAATAGCTCTACTAACTGAGCAACCATGACACCTATCATGTGACAAATTACTGATAAATAACTCTGGATGTGCTCAACAAGCCAAAAAGTGAAGCTTAGAATAGTAGGTGTAAACAAGGCTTATATATATTGTTAGTGTTATGGGCCCCTTTCAAAATGTTGTCACTTTGTACATTTGAGTGGCCAAATGCATGACTATTTTGAAGAAGAAAAAAAATCCAATCTATTATAAGAGAAGAACTCTTACAAGAACTAAGGATTTTTCCTAACATCTCATTATGTTGCTGTACATGTGAGGAATCCATATCTTGGAATCTTGTCATTTTAAAGCAATTTAATGCACTGGCAAACTGTGTTTGTTTGTTTGTTTATTTATTTATTTATTTATTTATTTATTTATTTATTTATACCACAACAATGGTTATAGCTAACTATTGTCTTGTATATGTCCACCTGTGCAGTAAATTTGTTTACTAATTGATCTGATTATTAGATGTTACCTTGTGTGAGTAACAAAAGAACTTTAATTCTCAGTCTTCAAACAGGATTTGGAAAAGTGATATGCATACATTTTTGTCCGTCTTTTCAGGCCTTCTAGGCCATTTGTCACTAATTTATTAAAAATGCTTCTACACATATTTTGCTAATGTGTGTAAATATATTTTTTTTATTACTTGAATCAACTAAATATTGGTTTTAAGAACATACTTTTGTAAGTTTCAAGGGAGAGACGAAGAGCTGCTTTGTTGACTTTGTGTTTGGGCGTATGTGAGTGTCAGGGGCTTCTTTAACTGAAGCAGTAAAACAGTCTTTTCTAAAAATGTAAAGTCCTAAAATAGACCTCAAATGGACCTCTACATTTCTTTTTTTTTTTTTTCCTCCAGTTTATGCCGCAATGTCTTAGGCCAAATTCCAGTCCTTTCATCCATCGCTCAAGTTTCTCACTCAACCATGTTTCTTGCAGGGCTGACTCTGCCAAGATGACGCAGCCCATAAGAGGGGATCAGGTCCACCAGCCGGCTTCAGCTCGCAAGTCAGCTAGCCTGTCCTCGCCAAGCGCAGCTCGCCGACTGTACCGCAATTTGTCTGGAAAGTTCCGCGTGGGCACCAATCCCCCCTCACTGGAGGACAGTGTGGTGTCAGGACGAGGAGACAAGGAGAGGCTGCGTAAAACCTCCATAGTAAGTCAAAAAGAGTATGAGAAAGGAGGAAAATAAGCCCAGAACCACTCTGGTCTATAAATGATCAGGGAGGGCACCTACAGTAGAGTAGACTGGTGGTAACACAGTACCTCTTATCCAATGTCAGTAAAACAAAAGAATGCAGAAACAAATGTTGTGGAGATGAAGAGAGCAACTTGATTTTGTTTTTTTTTAATTCACTGAAGGGTTGGCTGAAATATCTCAAAAGCTTAAGATTTCTCTGTGTCTCAGTTCCAGAGTAATGAAGCTTTGTTTGAGGCAGTGGAGCACCAAGAATTGGACTTGGTCCAGCTGCTTCTGTCCCAGTACAGTCTTGAGGAGCTGGACCTCAACACTCCAAACAGTGAAGGCCTTCTGCCTCTTGATATTGCCATCATGACCAACAATGTACCCATGGCTAAGCTTCTACTGCGAGCTGGTGCCAAGGAAAGCCCCCACTGTGAGTAGAGAAGTTCTGTGACTTCATGTAACAGTGGAACAAGCTAAAACAACCAAGTGAATGACTATATTTATTTTGTACACATGCTGTGTAGCTGTTTTACCCGTAAGTGTTGATGCTGAGAAATTGTCAATGACGGATTAAAATACTGCAGTTAAAGGAATGGCAGCATCAGGCAGGTCAGTCATACTCCCGGATGTATGTAGGGCCAAATGTTCTACAAATGATTTACAAATAATTAAATGCAAAAAGTATTTTCACAAAAGCAGTTCATGTCCATCTTTAAATAAAGTTTACATTGAAACTTAAAATTCTAACTACCATTTGAGCAAACGCAGCAACACACACACCTGAGTTGCAATAGTGATCGGTGTTTTCCCGCTTTACTGAAAGACACGTGTCTCTCTCTTGCAGCTTGCAGTGAAAACATATTAAAGGCGCTGAAGGGCTGGTAATCATGATGCAATATTAGTCCTCTTTGTAAGCACTTTTCATTTTCTATGATCTGTGAGCCTGCGTTGACTTCCTCTGTTAATGATTAGAACTCGCCAGTAAGGCTCCTAGGCTGTTTGTGTTTGTACATGTAACACACACACACTCATGAACGCACACACATGGATGTAGACACATTTTCAAGAGCTGAACCAGCCGTCTTATAAAGGTATCATTTAATTGAAAACACTTGAATGGAAAGTGGTGTTTACTGAAGTTAGGTCTTTGATTTTGCTTTTATATCCAGAACCCAAAAAATTCACAAGAACGTGTGTGCCTGCATGGGCTAGTATGAAAAACTTGCACAGAAAAGGAAATGTGGTGAACAATAGCACGAGGAAACTCAAAGCGTTCTGCTGGTTTCTAAAGTGTCCATTAATCAAACTTCAGTAGGGAAGGATCGACATCACAGAGGCTGTCGATTTTTTTTTATTAAACTTTAAAAGAATTGGTTCTGCTGCTTACTGAGGTTGCCGTGCATCACGGTGTGTGGTTACCAGAGAGACAAGGCAAGGCAAAGACAATCAAACAAATCATCAGCAACTTCATACACAGATTATAAATCCTGCTGTTGCTCACAAGACAAAGACACTTTAATGAGCTGTTAAAAATCCAGCCTTGATGTGAAATAAAGCCAAAACACGCGCGCGGTCGACGGCATCTGGAGTGTTTCTAGACTTTAAAGGCCTGAATGTGTAAATCAAAACAAATTAGCATTATTCATTTTTTAATGCATCCAACTGTTCAGGCTTAAAAAGATGTTCCGTCTATTTTGAAGTGGGGTTTTGTAGGAAGGTTAATATTTTACCAGCTTTGAATGGTCTCAGTTTAAAACATATATACTTTAATATTTTAGATGTCTATGAATGTTTGACAGCCCTGATGAGCTAATGGCTTAACTAAATGTGTGGACTTTTGTGATTTTATGCCATCTTAAAATGGCTGCAGTTTCAAAGAATGGATAGCAATTCGCACTAAAGTTTTTTTTATACACCTGAACATCGCTTTCCAATTTGCAACACACATGTATTTCTGTGGAGTTCTGTGGTTATTTACACGTCAACAAGTAATTGCAAAGTTTAGCATTAGTGGTGCGGTCTGGGGTAGAATTGGGGAGGAATTTCAAAGTATTTCAGCTAAAATAGCTACCTGATTCAAAAATGATAGTGCTGTAAATATCTAACTAATAGTATTTGTATGAACTGTTATGAATTTTTAAATACTGGAGAGTTTTTCAGCCCTTTTTAAAGAGTTGAGATTATTTTACATACTATACCAAAATGACCATATATTAGCACTTAGCACTTTGAGATTTTTGTTAATGAAAAGTGCGTTACAAATTAAATTCATTATTATTATTATTATTATTATTATTATTATTATTATTAATGCCGGTATGTATGTATGTATGTATATAAATTCAAAGCAGTCTGCTTCTCAGATAAATAGCATTAAATTATATAACACACACACACACACATACCTATATATATATATATATATATATATATATATATATATAGGTATATATATGATATGATATGATATGATATGATATGATATGATAAGAAATTGAAAGGCTTCCTGACAATATCCTGCCCAGTTTGATCCCAGGATGCACTAGAAAAGCTTTCTCAGCTGATGCTATTTGTGCTTGATATTAAACTCCAAAATTTCTAAAAAAAAAAACAAAAAAACATCTGTGCATTATAACATTGATGGCAATGTAAAAGCTCTTGGAGCTGCTAATAAATGATTGAGCTTTGAGTTGTTTCAATGCATCAACAATGCAATTTTGTCTTAGTAGCATTTTATTTGGTCATTAGCTTTTCAGTGCTGATGGAGGTAAACTATTTCTCCAGACTTGGGCTGCTCAAGAAGCTAACTACAATGGCTAACATATTGTTTTGTCAAAACTTTTTCACAAAAATTCACCTCAAAATGTCTGGACTGTCCATTAACAATTCCCTGTGATAATTTTCCCTAAACCCTGGCTTTACAGCTCAGCTTCCTACGATGGAGCTTTAGGACCACGCTAAGAAAAAAAAAATTTAAAAGCCATAAAATTACAAGAATAAAATCGTATGAGACTCTTTTTTACAGCTCTCATGTATTTTATTTTTTTTCCACGAGTCGGATCCACGATGTGACCTGTCAATCAATCCAGTAGGCGTGTCAGCAAATGACCAATCCAAAGCTAAATGCTCCTTACCTGCAGAGAGCTGCTGCAGCCCATCAGAGCGTACCACCTTACCATAAGCACGTTCAAAGTCCTGATACTGATAATAATCTGCTGATGTGCTAACAGATTAACTGTCTCCTTATTTGTAAAAACCAATACCAAAGTATAACTTAACAAGATGCTCAACACTCTTCATTTTACAACAGTTAAAATGCGGTAAACTCTGCTTTATCATGTCAGAGTTCAGATAATATTACGACTCATTTAGCTTCGGATTGGTCATTTGCTGACACGCCTACTGGATTGATTGACAGGTCACATCATGGATCCAACTCATGAAAAAGAAAAAAACACGAGAACTGCAAAAAGACTCGTACGACTTTATTCTCGTAATTTTATGGCTCTTCTTTTTTTTTTTTAATTCTTAGCGTGGCCCTAAAGCTCCGTCGTAGCTTCCTCTGCCCTTTCTCTTCAAAACGTGAAAAACTCACTTTAAGTTTTCACACAAGTAGCGCAGGAGAACAACCAAAGTGACACCAAAAAGAGACGCTCGGAATCAAAGTGAACCTCGCAGCCACTGAGGAGACACAGAGAGCACCGCAGAACTAAACACCCAGATGGACATTTTGACATGGAGCTTTAAACTTACTGTCAACAGTGGAATCTAACGCTCAACAGTGGAATCTACAATGAACAAACACAGACCACACAGACTAAACACAGACACACACCAGTCCCAAACACTAAGAAATGACCAGCCACCAAAAGAGTACAGTACACTACTGTCTTCTTCTATCTTACCAGCTTTAAATTGCCCGTTCTATACTTATATTTTGAATCATCTGTATGCTTTTGCAACTGGAGCATGTAAACCTCTCTGATCTTGTTGTTATCCCGCCATGGTCACTATCGCTAACTGTGCAGCCATAGTTTGAATAGTTTCACGGGGTGTTAAATCTCACCAACTGTAGCGATGTGTTTCACACATCATTGTTCCCAGTGTTGTAGCAACACCCTAACCCCTTATAAAAAAGAAAAAAGACTTTCATTTAATGGCTCTAATAGGCTGTGGTGCAGAATATAAATAGATCAGTTAAACAAAAATTTCCATAAGTCTCACGGAAAAAAAACTCATTTTACAGTGGCCATCTAATGCCCTCTATGGATTTTCCCACAACTTCGTGTTCCCTCAGAACCGCACTGAGAAATGGTCCTCCCTTTCTCACCCTTCTTACTTTCATTGCTCTATTTTCTGTCATTTTCTAGGTGATGTCATTCATTTAGGGAGACTGGTTAGTCACATTAAATGAAGTTTATTGAGGAATCTGCTGCATTACTTCGGTAAACAAAGAAATTAAAAGGGGCGGCTTGCTAAAGTTATTAGCAGTATTGCATGCAACGGCTTTCCTTGTCTTTTTTGAAGCACTTGCTGAAACTTAAATAAACTGCCATTGTAAAGAATTTAGTGATGCAAATACATTTCTCCTTAGAATAACTACAAGTAAGAGTTTAAGTAAGGAAGCAGTCAAGCTCACGTTCATATTTCACTGAAATCATTAATAAATACAGTATTTTTGCTAAATCTTAGAATAGTTTAGTGAAATATACAGTGCAGCATCTTTGTGTTTTACACTACATTCACCAAATGTCTAAATGAGAGTTGTGTTTGTTCATTATTTTAAATAACTGAATCAAACGAACATGCAAATCTCAGATCTCTCAGTGTTTTCACATGTAGTGCTAACATTCTCCTTGTGTCCTCCGTGTCGCTCATAGTTGTGAGTTTAGAGGGCCGAGCTGTGCATTTGGCTACCTTGGTGCAGGAGGCCGAGCAGCGAGTTTCAGAGCTCCAGGCCCAGTTGCGTAACGAGGGTCCCGGCGAACGGGAAGGATCTGACCAGGAGCGGCAGCTGAAAGCTTGGGAGTGGAGGCTGCGGCTCTTCCGGCGCATGCAGGCGGGGTTCGAGCATGCTAGTAAGGCAAAATTTAGGATTAATTTAGCTGTTTTTAAATAAATATTTAATCTATTTCTACATTTATTTGGGTTTACTATTTTTTTAGCTGCTGGCTTTTTGTCTGACTTGAATTAATGACTTCCACATGAGGAAATCTAACACATGAATTCCTATTTTAATAACTTGGTAACCACCCTATTTACAAGGTTTAAGGCATCCCCTCTCTTAGATAAACATCTTTGCATTCAGCTTTATAGTGTTATAATTTCTTTGGTTAATTGTGTGAACAATATTGTTCATTAAAATATGTAACATTCCTAATTCCACTGTAATGGTTCTAACATGCTGTATAAGAGTTTAGTTTGGCTGTCTTGACCTTTTTGCTTCTTTACTTATTTTCTTTCTGTTTTCTTGCACCCCCAGACCCTCCAGATGTTCCCACTGTAGTTCGCCTGTGTGTCAGCAGCAGCACAAGTTTACAGGTTGACTTTCATGAACCTCTCTGTGTCAACTCTGCTGTGGTTACCAAGTATAAAGGTCAGCCATTACCTCATTTAGCCCAAACAAGTCACTATAAAAACATGCGTAATAAGTGTATTTATTTGGGTCGTCTAAAAAACAGTTTGAAATTTAAATATCTCAGCTGCATGTGCACATTTTTCTCATTAAATCAACATGTGTGTGTATTTGAAGTGAGTTGGAGCAGTGCACCTTTGTTCAGCCCTTTGCTGGGTGAAATGATAGTGGATGACACCACACTCCTACAGTGCAACATAACTGGACTAACTTCTGTAAGTTCCCCTTCTTGGACAAATTATTGACATTTTAAACTGAAAAGAGTTTTGTTTCAAATCTTTTTGCACGTTACAATGTAACAACCTTCACACAAGTGTTTCTTTACTGTTAGAAGCTCTTCATTATCGGAGTAAGAACTTGCTTCTCTGTGTATTTAATTTCCTCTACTTGTCTGCACAACACATTTTGACAGATAAAACCATTTCCACATGAAACTGGTCAAGTAGCATTCCCTCTCCCTCCACAAGATGAAATAGATGCAGTCACTCTTTATATGCTAGTTTATAGCCAAGAAAATATACAAAACAAACTAAGCTGTAGGTTCTCCAGCTGTTGCTGCAAGCCAATCAAAAATTGTGGAGCAATTCTCCCAACTGAGGACCTTCAATGATCATATACAAACAAGTTAGAAGCATTTGGATTACTGTACATTAAAAGGTCATTTTCTATAGGATTTTTTTATTGCATTCAACAAGCGCTACATACAACCTTTACTGACAATCAGACCAAAATGATTGCTGTGACTTATTTATTCATTTATATTTTTTAAGTTATGGTTTTTAATTAAGGAGCGGTTGGAAGTAGAGGATGACACGGGAGTAGATTTTCACTCCTGTCCTGGTCCCACAGAAAAAAATCCTGTCCTGTCCCAATCCTGGTCCAGAGTATAAAAAATAACTCCTGTCCTGTCCCACTCCTGCTCCCATTCAGAATGATTCCCAGTCCTGTACCGCTTCCATTTTTTCTCTTTTCCATTTAGTCTTTAGAAAATACATTGAATTTGATTTAGTCTTCTACCCTTTCCTTTGTATATTACTTTGTGTTCTGCAGTTTTATTTCAAAAGATATGGCAGGAACAGTTCATCTGTGGTGAAATAGGCATTTATTGCCTTAATCCAAACAAAAATGTTCACTAAAGGTCACAAAACAAATAATACATGGCATGTAGTCCCTATAAAAAAGGTTTGTAAATTCGATAATCCATGTAGATTACAACAAAAATGGTTAAATCATGTCATCTGGATCAGTTTCTTTATATGAAAAATGTGAAGTGTGTGGTTCCTATAGTTTCTCTACAGAGGATCAGCTGCTGAGTCCCTGTTTTTAGCTCTTTTGGAGGCCAGTTACAGTAAAAACAAAAAATAAAAAAACAAAAGTACATGGGTCACACCATGAACCCGAACAGAACATATAAAGTTGCATTTTACTAACTTATTGAGCAACTAGAAAAAAGGTTGAATCATGTCATCTGGACTTCGTTTTCTTGTTAAAAAGAAACGTTTCGCCCCTCATCCAAGAGGCTTCGTCAGTCTGAGGCCTAGCCATCTGGTATTACCCAGAAGCCACCCTGACTCTTGTGTTTCAAGCCTGGTAAGCTTTTTAACAAGAAAACGAAGTCCAGATGACATGATTCAACCTTTTTTGTTGTTATATACCTGGATGACTGAGAAAACAAACTTTGTGTTATTGAGCAACTGTTTCCTTTAAACAGTGGCATTACTGTCATGTTTCAAATTGCTTAAACAAAATTAAAAAAGGGGGGGGGGGGGGGTACCAAGCAAGAGAACTCTACAAATAAAAATGCATTTTTTTACATTGGACGACGTCCTCAAGATGTTCACACTAGGTAACGAGCTTGTTTCTGCAAAGCAGGATGTCATGCAGCTTACCAGACTTCAGAGCATCATTTACAGAGTGGAACATTGCAAGTCTGGTATTCCAGAGTGAAGGTTTATTGGAAGAAAACTACAAAATAGCGGCGCCTGTCCAAAGTTGTTTTTTTTTTTTCTTCCATTTTCTTTTTTTGTCCTATTGGTTTGTTCCCTCTCCTGTCTGGTCCCATTAACTTTTCGTCCTGTCCCATCCCAATCATCATGTGAGTTATATTAAAGATGACTTCTGTCCTGCCAGAATCCTGCTGGAATCCCGTGACCTACAGGACTCCTGAAAAATGTCATCCTCTAGTTGGAAGACAGCCTTTTTCATAATGGTTAAAAACAAGCATCTTGGTAGCCTGCCACCCGGTTTATGTTTTGCATTTACAAGTAACCATGTAGACAAACAGATTTTCAAATTGTATTTTTTAAGGTTAAAAAACTAAACATCCACTTGTATTTTATTACTATATAAGCAAAACCCCTTCCTCATAAAAGACTGCAGCCTTAGACTGCTATCATAAAACAGAGGGCAAGGCAAATGTTAGTGACTGATTCGATTGATTCATAGATCAGTCTACAAACTGAGCAGTGACAGATAGAGCTTCTTGATAGGCACTACACCCAATCCATAGTATTGGATATACATATGCATTAAATAAACATACTGCATACAATAAATGTGTATTGTATATGTACTGTATCTGATGCTGTGATTGCAATCACCACTAAATTATGTCGTAACTGTCATCTCTCCTGTCTTTCCAGGGGACCTATTATTACGTACAGGTGTCGGCGTACAACATGAAGGGCTGGGGGCCTCCAAAAGTTTCCACCCCAGCTTGTGCTGCACCTTCCAGTGAGTCTGCATTGTGTCTGAATCTAGTTTTACAAACATTTATGCATAAACCCCTAAATTTACAAAGGCATATGCACCTCCAGGGTTTTTTTGGCGTGTGTGGTGGGTGGTGTTTTTACATCATAAAGGGACCAAAAGTTGTCAGGACACTGAATAATGGGGATTTTTAAGAGTTGAAACGTTGTTGTTTTTTGGCTTAAACTTGGTTTAGCTGAAAGTGTAATAGTTAAGGAATTATACATTTAATTGCGGTGGTTTAGGTCACTGTAATGAACTAGAAAAATCATTGTATCCATGAAGGGTCCACATGCACTATCTTCAGCCAGAGGGGTGAGCGGGCTTTCAGGTACCATTTGCAGATATCAGGATGGTGTGGAGACCCAGCAGGAACTTTTCCATGCACCATCCTGAGGCTATGGTTGCATGGCCTCAGGTTCAGCCAAGAAATTAACCGTGAAGTCATGTGGAACATCTGAGGTGTTGACCACTGCACACAATGGATTTGACCCTCTTCTACTGTTTTACTTGCTTTCTTTTTTTCTTTCATCTTAAAAATAAATTTGGTTGTAAAGTGTGATGTGGTTTTTTTTATTATTTATATGATTTATATTCTTCATGGCAATATTGTGCTTGTAAAGTTTCTCCAGCTGGTACACGACCTGCTGCAACAGGGTGAACAAACTGTAGAAAGCACCACTGTGGGTATACTGGGACACCAGTGGAACATCTGGACAACACATGAACATGTTTGTCCTCATCAGCACATAGTGTTTTGCAGCAAGTGTGTTTATATGGTTTTCATTTTAAAGAAACTAGGCTTTCCCTCTCTTTTTTTTTTATTTTTTATTTTTTTGCTGCACCACCTCTCTCCCTTCCTCCCGCTCTCAGAGCTAATTTAGATGTTGCGTGTTTGTGTTTTCCATTTGGGCCTACCACTGGAAATATTTGCATGTGTGTGCTGTAGCTCGCTGCGCGGCCCCAACAGTGGGGGCCTTATACCTGGCTGTGGACGCCCATTAAAGGGTCCGCTTGTCTTGTCGGGACAGGCACCTTTCCGGGAATAGAGCGCACCGTGTTTCAGCCCCATACACCCTCCAGGGGGCTCCAGTTGGAGGGTGGGGTTAGGGGTGTAATGATTGGTTGGGGGTTGGGTTATCACTGACTCATCCTCCTGTGCTTTACACACAAGGCAAAAAGTGCTGGAGTCTTTTTTTTGTTTTTTCTTTCGCTGAGTCATCTAAAAGAAAGAAAAGTTTGTGTTTGTGAAAGAGATCTCAGATTTTTAACTTTTCATGTTTGCTTGTAATTATGACTTAATTGTTGGTGAGTGTGCTTGTATAGTAACACAGCAACAAAGACACAAATATAATTAAAATTTGAAAAATAAGCATTAAAATGCAGTTTCTGTACACATGTAAATCTATCAGTTTGTCAGTCATTAATTAGTAGGTGACACCACACATGACAGCATATAAATCATGTTATACCAATGAAAGATTTTGCAGAGGCTTTTAAAAAAATATATTTAACCTTTATTTATACAGGTACTCTCATTGAGTCATGAGGACTCATTTTCTAGAGAGAACTGTTTTAGACAGACAACATATAAGTACTTTTTTTTCACCCTATAAGTGGTGGATTTTTGCATAATTTGCATGCCCTGTGACTTATGGGCCAAAGCAACGTATTTATGGATTTTTTTCCCATATTTATAAAACAATTTTAGCCTGAAATATGACCATTTAATTTTTTTTACAGTACCATTTTCCGCCATTAGATGGCAGCAGAGTAATAGTAGCAATAAGGCATGCCATTGTTATAGGTAAACATGGCTATAATGACAAATATAAAAACGTTTAAAACAAAAACAACTGGACTTTATTTGTTATACTTTATTGTTTTTGTCTTGAACTTTTTGAATTTACCATGTCCTGGATGACTGAGAATCTTTGCCAGGTATTAATGACACAATTGGCTTGCCGTAGACTGCCACTTTCGTTCTGCTTGCTGCTCTGAGCAACTGTCAAACCAGCTGCACCTCCCGGTGAAATGCAGGTAATTTGACCATTAAAGTACATTTATTAAGTAAAAGTTCAAGTGAACCACACCTTTACTATAATTTCGAGCAAACAAACATTTGTTTTAGGTGCTTTTCTTGTTAAATTTCGAAGAAACGAGCAGCGTTCCTCTGTCCTTTTTTTCCTCCCTCTGCATGGTCCCGGAACACCGAGGCATCAAATACTTTTGTAATACAGCTGATTTGACCTTTAAAGTCCTTTTTATTAAGCAAACGTTAAACCGAGACACACCTTTATTATAAAGTTGAGCAAAGAAATAATTGTTTTTAGGTATTTATCTTGTTAAAGTCCTCCCGTGCACACTCCCGCGGCCGCCATTTGGCAGCCAATCGATTTTTGGCACAACACCGGCCCACACTTCCAGGTTGTCAGTGGTGACTCATAACAAATGCGACGCATCAGCGGTGATGCATAATAGATGCGACGTCTACGGCGAAGCGACATATTTATGGATTTTTCCACATATTTGGACTGATGCGACTTATAAGGCGATGCGGCGGAAAATACAGTACAGCAATAAAAGCAATGGAAATAAAAGTAGTTATAAAAACAATAAAATCAAAATGCCATATAAACAAGGTAAAATACTAAAGAAAATAACATATTTGCTTAGATTTTTCTAATGACCTTATCAAATGTTTAAAATCCCTTAAAGAAATCAAAATGGACAACTTCAGATCTTGTTGCAAGGATGGAGAAGAAAACTGAAAAGATTTCTTTCCAAGTTCAGTTCAGACTTTAGGCACCGAAAGTAAAAGTAAGTTCTCCCAACAAAGAGTATCCTCCGGTGGACTTTCTCTTTATAAAGGCCAACAAATACGAAGGAAGAAGTCCTAGTATGGTCTTATAAATCAAAATATGCCAATGGCGAAGTCTACGAGTGGCCAAGGCCATCCATCCAACCTGACTGTATAATGTGCAATGCTGTGTAAAACTTTTTAAACCTGTTATAAATCTTAAAACTCCATGATAAACAGCATCCAGTGAATAAAGACATTTAAGAGAAGCATGCATGTATAAAATGTCACCATAGTCCAGTACAGACATAAAAGTAGCATCATCTAGTCGCTTTCTAGCCTCAAAAGATAGCCAGGATATGATCCTGAAGTAAAATCCCAGTTTTAATCTAAGCTTCTTCACCAGCTGTTGAATGTGAGCGGTAGCAGAAGAAGTGATTTATAGATAAAGATGTACCAGTGTGAGAGTCTGTGTGTAGATAATCATGACCAACTGATCAATGAGCACAGAGTGCCGTGATGGTACGGTAGTTACAACCAGTTATTAATCTTAGAAAGTCACGGTAGACAGCATCCAACATCAGACAATATCTGCCATGAAAAGGAAGGTATTACAATTTATTTCTGCCAAGAATAATGTAGAATGTTTTAAAGTGTCCCTGTTTACAGTGGCCATTCACTTTTCGAAAGATTGTGACCCTTAAAAGAGCTGCATATTTACCGGTAACTGTGGCAGAGTTTACACTGCAACCAAATGAATAAACTTTGCATTAGCATGAGTTTGAAAATATATCGGATGAAGTCACTACATGAAAAATAAAAACACAACAAATTGTACTAACAATTACATGTCTTAATTTTAGGAAACAGAATCGCTTTGCTTTGATGTATTTAGGTCTGTTTTTCACTTTTGTAAAGTTCCCACCTTTATCCTTGGGGGTGAGGAATACGGTTTGTTGTAACTGTGTCTTGCCACAATTAGTTCTAAATTATTTTTTGTTTGTGCAGGCTGGAGGGATATTGATGGCAATGCTCCTCGTCAGAAAGGCCAGAAGGAGGCACTTGACCAGCTACTCGCACAGATAAAAGAAGCTCACCGTCACTGTACCTGCCATGGTACGGATTTATTGTTTTTCAAATTGATGGCCCTTTTTGTGCAAAAGACCAAACAATGCACGAGAGTTTAAATTATGTGTACGACTAAACCAAGGTGAAATTTAAACCTGCTGGTGGGTGTGCTTTTCTGTTGACCACATGTTCAGCTAAATTGCACCCAACAAACAGAACTGTATTTTTCTCAGATTTAGTTGTGCTTTAGGTTTATTGTTGGAGAAAACAAATCATGGCGTATCAAAACTCTGCAATTTACAGGTGCAACAAGTTTCACTATTTGCTGTGTTTCATTTCACCTTGACAGACACTTTGCAATCTGAGGCATGACAAGTACTTCAGGGGCCATACATACTAAGATGACATGCCACCTCCCTCCTTGTCTCAGCAACCTCTCACTCCCTTATGAGTCTTTCCATGACTCAGGCCTTCTTACTGAATACCTCGCTCTCTGTGACAAAATGCAGATTAACATCCCTCACACTCGAGCTGTTTATATCCTCGAACACTGCCGGCTGTAAGCTGGTCCCATAAGTGTCAAAACCTGTCCACACTGACTCCTTCATAGAACGCCGAACTGCATTTAGCATTGAGCCTCTCGTTTTCTCTCACACCCACATGCCCAAACACACTCACCCACTTACTATTGTCCACTGTGGCCGGACCATATTTGCAACAGGGAGAGCTGCAATATAATAGTCAGTATTGAGTGGCTCTTGGTTTGTCAGACGGCAACTGATTGAGCTTGAGGGTTCAGGCACGGTAGCCAAGGTGGCGTGTCCTGGGGTCATGTTTGTTATTCCTGTAGCAGACAAGTCCTGGGCTGGAGTCTGAGAAGAGCATAAATTAACACTGACTACTGCTGCCTCCCTCTTCAACCCCCCCGCAGCGAGCTAGTCGTCTTGTTTACTGTCCTCACATATACAGTACACTTACAAAAGTACAGATGTACATGGATAGACATTTTTAAGCACATACTCCCTTTTTCAACTCTGACTTTCCCACATGTTCATGTATGCACCCCCACCCCCTATCACAACCTGGCTCATGGCCCACACCACCTTCTCCCTCTTGTCCAAACACTATTAATTAAACTGTGAAAGAGGCCTTGACTAACACAGGCTCCCCAGCAGCCAGCCCTACTTGTCTGTCTTACTCAGTGTCATGCTGGGGAATAAGGCCAGCAGTGGAGAGACGTTTGGGGTGGTGAGAGGGGGCCGAAAGGTGCTGCTGTTTTTTTTTTTCTTACTGCGCCAACTTGACTCGTCCACCTGAAGGAAAAAAATGTTTTTTTAGTCCTGAATGAAGGGATTTATTGACTTTAAGTAGCCTGGGGCTAGAGAGAGATCACCTGGGATGAGAGAGAGTCTGAGGGGATTTGGGACTCGGTGTTCCTAATGACTTGGGAGGTGCGTTATCTCACCAGCAAGAACCCACACACACACACACACACACACACATATATATATATATATATATATATATATATATATATATAAACACCTCTCTGGCCTCCAATCCCCTTGTGGCCCACTAAAAATAAACATGTCCCCGTAGACCTAACTGACCTACCTGTCAGTGAGTGGCAAAGGGTTAAGACACATACAGACGTGCACACATGAGTTACTGAAGTTTCTTGGCTCCACGCATAAGGCTGTAGCTCAAGGCATACCATGCTTCAGCAGCTTTAGTGTGTGCTGGTAAACACACGCTCACATACATGTACACAGGGTTAGTGATCCCCGGAGACTTGAGAGCTAGTGGTTCCCTCTGGGCCAATAGTCTGCTGTTGGCAGCCAGCATGATTGTCAAATTGAGCAGGCCCACTGGAAAGCATAAAATGTCAGAAATGTTCTGCAGTGTTGTTGTACCTGTCAGGTTTGTTGTCATTTTGGTAACAGGCTGTCACTGGAGATGTTTCTAAAACTGGTCATATTCTGAACAAGTGTCTATTGATTTAGCGAGAAAATTGGCTAGTGAATGGCATAAGCATCCTAAAAACTCTTAACTGTAGGCATGAAGAGCATTAATTAAGTACCTAAAATGTATATATTGTAATAAAATGAACTGAGTTTTTTTTTTTCTTGTCACACAGAGCAGTGCAAAGCTCCAACACAAGGCAGGAAGCACTCGGTATCCAAAAGTCTCCGACATCTCTTCCAACCTACCAGCAAATTTGTCAAAAGCTTGAAAAGGTGAGCAAGCCTTTCACCAGTAAAGTGCATTGGGTGCTTTTAAATTAGAAACCTACCTTACTTTTCATTTCAACGATCCTCTTGGATCCACTTTGAAGTCACCATGGGTAGTGGTTAAAACATTCTACTATGAAATGAGACACCCAGTCAAGAAGCTGGCATACCCAATTGGGGGTATCACTTTACAATAAAGCTCTGCTTATAGATGGCTAATAAATAGTTTATAGAAACGTTATTAATTCCTCTAGAATCACTTTATAAATCGTTTCCTCCAGGTACTCCGGCTTCCTCCCACAGACCAAAAACATGCATGTTAGGTTGACTGGTAACTAAATTGTCCCTAGGTGTGAGAGAGTGAATGGTTATTTGTCTCATTTGTCTCTGTGTGGCCCTGTGATGGACTTGCGACCTGTCCAGGGTGTCCTCCGCTTTCCGCACAATGATAGCTGGACTGGGTACTGGGTGGATGGATGGATGGATGGATGGATGGATGGATGGATGGATGGATGGATGGATGGATGGAATGTAGCTTGTCACACTGTTGTCCTTGAAAAATCTCTGATTGGCCAGGTTGCCCTAGCACTACATAATAAAATGAACTGGGACATCCTGTGCGAACACCCAAAATATGGGGTTTGGGCTAATTGGTGTGGGGTAAGAGGTTAAATGGGATTCACCTAAGATTTATGTTTAGGGTAAATATGTGTAATAAGTTGCAAGTTAGTTATATATATTTTTTTTATTCCAAAACCTAAAGTTTCTTTCCAGTTTTCAAAATTTTAACCATATGCATTTGGTGGGGCCGAGACGGGGGTAGAGGCAGGGCATCCGACTAGGGGCCTGAAAGTCCCAGGTTCGATCCTCTGTCATTGCACATCTCGTGGTGTCTCTGAGCAGAACACCCTATCCCCTATTGCTCCCCGGGCACTCTCAATAGCTGCCCACTGCTCCACCTGAGTGTATCCTAGTTGCAATGGGTTAAAAGCAGAGATCCAATTTCGCCATTGTATGGGAACATACAATGATGACAACACATAACACATTATTATTATTATTATTATTACTTTGCTAACTTGCCAGATTAGCAACTGTCTGTGATGAATATTTTTTATGTGTTTTTCTCCAGAGGTCTCTATTTGACATCCATATTCTACAGAGATGATAGCATGCTGGTGACTCCAGAAGATCAGATTCCAATTGTAGAGGTTGAAGATTCCTACTCCAGCACACTGATGCAGGACTTTCTCTGGTTCAGTAAGGTAGTCAGACAAACTATGCTAGAGAAACATTTGTAAAATTTGTTTGATAAACTTTCAATTAAAATTTACATATCATACTTTCAGAGGGCTTGCAATAAACACCATCATTCCTTTGATTCATGAACATATAAACTTGGATGTATTTTTGGGGGTTTTTTTATAAATATTTTTGCAATAGGTTTCTTACCTGTGGGACGAGATCTCTTGGCTTCAGCAGTGTCTCAGTCCATCCCAGTCATCTTGCTCCTGTACTCTGCAAACTCGCATCAAGATGCTACAGGCTGTCTCTCAGCTACAGGTTGTAAAATGGTTTTGTTTTGAAATTTCCATAATCATCACCTCATGACCTCAGGCTTAAAATAAGTCTATCAGGAGTCATTCTTCTATGCTTTTTTTTTTTGGTGGCCTTTTAAATCAGGGAATGCTGGGAACCCAGGACATTGGACAGGTGTATTTTGAACCTATCAAAGACAAGCATGGCAATGCCCTGCTGGTGCTCCTGAGGGACATGAGTACCTGTCCCAACCTAGATGGGGTACGCTGGATGCAGCTTTGTAAACTCCAACTTCAACGCAAGTCTATTTCATCCCCTGAGGAGCCCACTGCCTTGGACATGCTCCTCATTACCCTTCATGTGAGTTCTCCTGAAAATCTTAGAAACTAATTAAAGAGACAATTCAGTGTTTAGTTTCTATATGGGACACAGAGTTCCTCCGCAGCAGTAAGGAATGGTTGGAGGGTTGTCTGCAGTGGTTTTTGTTTAAATAGGCGCATTCTTTGCTTGTTTTTCTTGCCGGGCAGAAATTTAACACAAGAGGTTGTGGTCAAATACAACAAAAAAGCCCCTAAACATGTATTCACTGAAATTGCTGTCATGCTTTGAAAGCTCATTCACAGAAAATTGAACATGACACAAGAAACTTGAGGCGCTGTGGCTGAAACAATGGAACTGTGAATTGAAAATGTGCTTCCAATTACAAGTGCTGCTTGCATTCTTTATTTAGACATTAATCATCGTGACTTTACTCCTCTGTTTGTTACTTATTTTGTGAGGACACCTACTGAACAGATTATTGATAAGAATCAATTAAAATGCCATAAGTCAGGTCAGACTTCGAAGCCCTGTGAGCGCAACATGAACTATAATCATCTTAAGATTCCTTTACTTTTAATGCTGTTTCGATGATGACTATTAAGATTAACATCATTATCATTTTTGGTTTGTATTTGATGTTACATAACTGGTGTTTGTAGATGTTTTTATTCACAAAAGCCAATATGTGGAAAAAAGCCACAAGTTGATTTTATCTAAAGCCGAGGAAACTTAAAACCATTGTGGCAATAATGTTTTGTTTCCAGTCTGAACTGGTTTGGTCTTGCGGTTCTAAAACAATGGTGGAGGTTCTTCTGACAAAACCACAGTTCACTAAAATATTTGTTTTGTACTAAGAAGGAACAAATTATATAATGATAAAAATGTGCAGATGGGGTGTTTTCAGTGCTGACTTTTACTTAACGTTGGGTTGACTTTAGACTGAAGGGCTTTGTGGACTAACCTACCTTTAAAACTTGAAGATAGCACAATTATCACTCATCCATCTCTAGTCAACACTTGTGTTTCATTGTCTTATTTGTAACCAGGAGAAGCTGGCATATCACAGGCGGAGCAGGAAGCTTTTGCCTCCAGGCTTATACCTGGGCTATCTAAAGTTATGCACATCAGTGGAGCAGATAAGGGTGCTGGTACCCCAGAAACTCCCCAATGTTCTCTGTCACACCAAAATTCGAGACAACAGTAACGTGTCCAGGTGGGAATTGTGCATTGCATAACATGGCTCTTTGCTTGTTTGAGTACACCTAACATAGCTGGAAAACTATGTAACGATATCTCTATGTCTTAGAGAGGAGTGGCAGTGGCTGCAGGCTCTCACCTCACTGGAGGAGTCATTGGAAATGGACCTTGATGTACAAAGCGCGCCCCATCGCCTCTTACAAGATCTTCGCAGTGCCATCAAGGACCTGATGGCTCACATCAATGTCCCAGGCAATCAAGTGAGAGCATCAAGCTAAAAGCATGCTACCAGCAACCAGGCATGCTCCTCATTAACACTTCTTAAATTATTCCAAATAAAAGAACACCTTTTTTAGGGTATTATCAAATCTTTGTGACATGCTTCAATGAAAATCCACCAGTATTTTAGACCCAAATACCTTTCTGTAGCTGCACAGCTACAAGTAACTAATGGCCACGTATCATGACTATCGATTTAGTTGGACCCGAGGTGCAGACAGAACTCAGGGAGCTTCAAGTATGAATACATAATTTATTTAAATGACAAAGCAAACGCTGACGTGGCAGCAAAAATTACATTTCCTAGGAAAAACGGGTGGAGGACAGAACACAAGGCCATACAGGACAATCCACTGACGGTAACAATAAAGAAACTCAGAATATATAGACACTAATGAGGGGATAAACACAAACACCTGGGGAAGGACAACAGGTGGCAGAGGCAGGAGCTGATCACATGAGGGAGAAACACTGAGGAGGGCAGGACAGATGACACAAGGATCACGAAACACACACAGATCCTCTCACCATGTGTCTTTCAAATGGCTTCTCAAGTTTGTCTTCTCTTTTTCTTTCCTTTGTTTTGATTGACATCATAATAAACAAGAGAAAATCAAAATTTTTCATGCATCTTTTTGTTGTTTTTAAGTCTCTTTTTGGTCTCTTAATAATCAGACCTAAAACCACAGAAAAGCCACAGACATCTGATGACATGAATTAAAACCAAAACACTGTTCACATGAAGGTAAATCCCCAACAATACAGAATATAAAGGCCTAGCATTCCATCGAGAAATGCATATCGTCAACTACACCAATGTTTTAAACAAAAAAATGATGCAAGATCTGTTAGCACTCAGAGTATGGGATGACTCTCAGCTACATACCAACTCTTGTACCTGTCATGAATATAAAGTGAAGTTCCTCGTGAGGGCTCTAAAATTTTCTTATTTGACTAATGTCCTTCAGATGCTAAAACCTAAACCTTTTTTATTATAAAAAATCTTATTGCTTGTTTTAAACTTGTTTTTATCAATTTATTTAAAGAAGTCTGGACAGGGACAGCAAACACCGATTAACTCAACAACAGCTCGGTGAAATGTTTGAGTGAAAATAAGAATTTTAGAAAGGCTGAACCAGAAAAAAGGCAGTAAAACTCCATAAAATGCTTCCATGTGCACAGCCGTTCACTTAGTGCTTTTCTCAAAAGACAAATTCCCACTGTTTGTTTATCTATGGATCTAGGCACAGGATTTCCGAATCTACACCCAGGAAGTGTTAGAGTTTGGGGATAAAGTGTCCTTCCTGCTCCTCCTGCCACCTTCAGATGAAGTGTGCACGGCTCCTGGTCAGAATAATCCATACTCACCCCGCTCCGGCTTCCTCACCCTGCCTCTGCAGATCTTTGAACTGGGTCAGTGTATCAAATTTTACACACTTTCAGAACTACACTCTTTAAAGACTTTTTGCTGTTTCTGTAGAGGTTTTACTGTGAGAACACTTTTTAAAAAACTTTACTGGATTCCCTTTTTCCAGTCCACTTTAATGCATATTACCCCAGTTTCATCGGCCAGTACTGTAGAGTTTCGGCTTTGCTGGAGCTGGAGTCCCTCATGTCACAGCAGGCACTACGAGAGGCCTTCTCTGAAGCCGAGCTTCTTACTGCTAAGAAGAAACACCAGCAGGTCCAGGAGCACATGCAGGTATGACTACTGAGTGAACCCAGTCAGTATGTAAGGAGAAATGAAGTGCATTTGCTGTCTATCAAATTATCTTAGTATTGTTTTATTTTCAAATGAAATCCACTTTTTATGTCTTTTGAACAGCAAATGGAGGAGGTGTGGCGGGATACAAGGTGGATTATGGATGCCTTGCAGTATGCTCGCTACAAACAGCCATCAGGAGGCATCTCCATTAGCTGGATAATTGATTTCTCTAAGGAGGTGATTCCAGACAAGCCTCACTCCACCTCCTCTCAGACAGACTTCATGCCTTCTCCGCTGCCTTCACCCGAGCCCTGCCGCAAACACTCAGGTCAGAAACCCTTTTGCTAACACATGTCTGGTATCACTCTGTGTGCTGAAATGCAGTATTTTGTTTTAACTGCTTCTTTTATCACATCTATTAGACTTTCCTGGCTTATCAGATGAAGAGGGTTCCTCTGAAGTCTTCCTCACCACCGATAGTGACTATGACTCCAGTCGTGCTCAAAGTCCCCGTGAGCTGGACTTGTTACCTCAGTCTCCTCTATCCTCCTCTGCACCTTTGGAACCCCGTGAGTTTCTGCGTAGTGATGGGAGTGGCTCAGGAGGAGGTGCATGCCCGAGTGGAGGGGGACGTGGAGTGGGAACTCTAAGAGACTCCACACCGGACGTCCTTCAGGCCTCTGAGCCACCGCCGGGCAGGGAAAGCGAGAGAGGCGGGGGAGTTCGGTGTGGAGGGGAGCGACGTAGGGGCCCCCCAGAGCTGTTTGACAGTGACTTCATCCTGCCCAGCAGGCAAATCGAGCTGCTGCACATTACAGAGAAGAGACAGGCCTTCTGCGTAAGAACCAGCAGTCTGGAATTCCCCTCTTCCACATCCGTCCACCATCAGCCTTACTCCTATCACGCTACGTACTTCTCTCCCTCAACTTCACCGCAGAAACGATGGCACAGGCCATCATCTGTGGAACGCTGTTGTCCTGGAGAGCGCTGCTTACCACAACGTCCACCCGCACGTACGTTATCAGAGGACAGTGGCACAGAGAGACTCAACACACCATCCACTGCTGTGTTCAGGAGGAGTTGTCACGCTACACTCAAAGTGTATCCACAGTATCACACCGGCCTGCCAAAGGAGACCAGTGTTAAGGTACTCCTACACAACTACAGCCATAGATGGTTTTTTTTTTTAAATACCGCTTCAGTTCATTGAGGTTTGCAATCATTCATTTAAGAACAGCTCTCCCAAAGTCCAAGTTCAACATGTCAGTCAGGTTGAGGTCTTGCTTTTCACTAGGCTGTAAATCACCTTGATAATATTTCTTTAGATATTGATACAGCTTTACGGATGTGTTTGGATAAATTGTCTTATTTCATGACCCAATTGCAGATACTGTACTTTTACCTGTCAGACAGATGACTTAGCATTTGACTAGGGTATTTTGGTCTGCAGAGGAGCTGGTGATTGACTCAATGTTTTCAAGGAGCCCTGGTACTGTCAATTCAATTCAGTTTATTTATATAGTGCCAAGTCACTACAGAAGTTATCTCAGGGCACTGAACAAAAACATTCAAATACATTATAAATGCCAGTTAGTAAAGTTATCTATCTAAAGAAGCCAGCAGATTGCGTTGTCTTCATTCGTCACAGTCTCCCATCCTGAGCTAGCACAAAGGCCACAGTGGAAAGGAAAAACTCCCTAATAACAGGAAGAAACCTTCAGGAGAACCAGGCTCAGGACAAGCAGCCATCTGCTTTGACCGGCTGGGTTTGAGAGGACAGGAAGAAGAAACGGACATAGAATGGCAGGTCCAGAATGGAGGCGAGCAGGAGAGCAGGTCCTCACTAGGAGGAAAGACAAAAAAAACAACCTGTTAAGATAGAAGCAATTACAAATACAAACTATTCATTTGATGAAATTAGATCAATTTATTCACCAGTAGCCTAAGCCCATAACTAACGGATAGGACAGGAAACTCAAGCTGACCCTAATTATAGGATTTATCAAAAAGGAAAGACTTGAGGTAGTTTTAAAAGTTGACAATGTGTCAGTGGCTGCAGAACAAACCCAAGTCATCCCCCCTTCACCACCTTGGCCGACAGTTGAGATGTTTGCAACGATACGCTGTTTGTTTTTTGTCAAACATGGCACTGTACATTATTACTCAAGGTTAGATTTCAATCATTTTAGAACCAGGACAACATCATTTAGTTTTATATCCAGATACATAAATTCCTCAATCTGAAAGAGTGTGTACTTTATTTTTCTCATGACTGAAATAGTGCATCCTGAACTGTTTGTTCTTTATACGCCTGTCGAAAGGCGGACGTATTATGGTATAGTCTCTGTCCGTAAACTTTCTCTTGTCCCGCCCATACCTTAAGATCTGCTCAAAATAATTTAACAGCGCTTCATACACATATGCATTATCACTTGAGACAGAGTGTCGCATTCACTTTTCATCACCCCAGCTCTGAGGTCAAGGTCACAAATCAAGGTCAAAGTTAAAACAAGGTATTTGGTTGTCCAGACCATAACTTCTAATCGACAGGTTAGGTCAACAATGTAATGAAATGCTTTGGACGAGAAGAACTCGACTCGCCAAAAAAAAAAAGAAATATCAAATCATGCAGCAAAACTACTAAAAACATACTAAAAATATACTACTAACATACTAAGAAAAGCGTATAAAAAATACTACTAAAATACTAAAAAACAAGGTGCCAAAGGTGAAAAATGAATACATCTACAGTGTGGGTTGGTTAGCAGTGAGGTTCTTTCAACGTCATGGTTCTGTTCTATTAGCAGCTAAACAGGTCATGTTAGCAGGTCCAGTCAGCAGCTTGATGGTAATAAGGACCGCAGCAGCTTCCCTCACAGACCGCAGTCCAGAACCGTGTTCGGCAGACAGAGAACATCTCAGGTTTCCCTGCAGAACCAAACGGGTCAGTACCACGTTTGTAGGCAGGTGGAGGATCTTGTTAGCGGCGTTAGCAGGTCTTGTTAGCAGGTCCGATCAGCAGCTTGATGGTAATAACGACCGCAGCAGCTGCCCTCACAGACCGCAGTCCAGAACCGGGTTTGGCAGACAGAGAACTTCCAAGGTTTCCCCGCAGAACTGAACGGATCCGTAGAGTTTGGTCCGTGCAGGCAGATGGAGGATCATGGAGACAGCCGCCATGACGGGCCAGAGCCTAGGCCCGAGGCTGGAGAGGGGCCGGGAACTGAACCACGATGGCAAGGCAACGACACACAAAACTCCACAAGTGTGTCGCGGTCATACCCGTACCATGGGTGTGCATTGCAGGCGCAAAAAAAGTTTAAAATAAAAACAAGAAGAATAAAAAAATGGTTGAATCAAAGCGGAGCTCCCGTCAGTGCTACCATTCTGCGGTGCACGTGACGTCACACAAGATAGTTTAATGAAAGGTAATAAAAATTTGTACCACAACAACATGGCGTATTGCTTAATCTTTCCATCACCTCAGCTCTGAGGTCGAAGTTTATACAAGGTGCTTGTCCTGGTCATTGCTATAAATTACTGTACTGCTGTATAAAAGTTTGTTGATGGGCGTATAATTTGCCGTATACCGTACTCTTGTTGTGTTTATGCCAAAGCTGAACTAACTACCTCCACCTCCTACTGTTTTTCAGCTTTGTGCAACTCCAGGCACAACAGCAAGAGAGATGATTCAGCTGGTGGTCCAGGAGATGAACGTTGTGTCTCGGCGCCTGCTGGGCAGCACTGGAGGTGGTGATGAACAGGAACAGTGTGTTTACTATAGTCCTGAACAGTTGAAGCACTTTGGTCTTGTGCTGGTTGTGGACAACAGAGAAAAATGGCTTCAGGATGACTTCTGTCCTCTGGAGCTTCAGAACCCCTGGCTGAGGGGCAAACTGTGTGTTCGCATTAAGGAGTATTCACCATTAGCACTCAAACACAGCCGGGCCACCACAGTGTGATGTGTTCTGGGTGTCGGAGGGGCAGAAAAAACTTTTCTAAGTCTGGACTGCATTTGACAAAAAAAGTTTATTGATGAACTCGGTTTTCTTTGTCACTGAGGTGATTTCTTCTTCATCGACAGCTCTAACCTGTTGTCCTTTTTCTGCTGAGTTATCTTTTTTCATCAGAAATGCCATTCTGAGAATCTATTTCTATGAAATGTGTTCTCCCAAACGTCTTTTTTTATGCACATCAGCTCCTCATATGGACACCAAATGAACACAATGTGGAACAAAGAGAAAAGTGGGGGGTTTTCGTGCTGTCAGAAATCATCGGGCAAAAGATTGTGATGCTGAGCAAGAGTAATAAAGCCAGTCTCTGACTTCTGTCATGATTGCTCATGATTTGCTTTTTAGGAATGACATGAGCCACCACCATTATCCTGTCCAGCCACACACAGAGAAAGGGCTTTTTCTAGGGCTGTCACATTTTCTCATTCCCCAAAAAAGCTTTCCCAAAAAGCAGTCATCAAGCCCAATGTTCTAAGGATGTGGTATCTGCACTGGACCCAGATGGCTGGAGGGAGGAGTGTAGTAAATAGATGGATGGTGGTCCCATTTGAAGACTCAACTGACCTGACGATTTGGCCCATAAGTACGTTGTTCTTGCCCACCACGGCATCTGGTATCTAGCAGCCAAGTGCGATATAGGGATCACTGGCACTTACATGCTCTTGTCATTGTGTAGCTGATAAATGTGATCAAATCATTTTGTGGAGAAGCAAAATGAAACCAGCTAATCTGGGGGCCCTGAAACAAAGAAACAAAGCAATACTTTCTATGTTTGTTTTTGTTTTTTTTTATTGATGGGGGGGGGGGGACATGTAAACTTTCCATATATGTGCTGGGATCTGCAGTTCTGTGGTCATTCTGTGCTAAAAGCTGACCAGTTTAGTGTTTTTGTTGTGCTTCGTTCAGTGGTATTACCCGTATGCATCTGAAAGTTGAGCTCTTCAGGCTAGCACAGGGTTTTAATGAGATCGAGGTAAGAAAAGGATACGATTGTTAAGAGGCCTCGTTATTCTATACAAAAACCTGCACACACTGAAATGTTTTTATAAGAGATGCAAAAAAGCAACACCAAGTTACAAAGTCCAAATTATTTAAATACATACAGTATTTTGCTTCTTTTTTAATGTCACATCTTTGTGTCATAACCTGCAGATAAAACCAAAAGCATCGGCGTATACGTAAAAAAAAAGGAATTAATCACGTCCACAGCTGAAAATTTAATTAATTACACATTTGTTATCTATAAAAAAAATATAGATCAGTTATTTTTAGGGATGCATGATATATATATAT